TGGTCACGCTGCATAAAGTGAAGTCGCGGCAGGGGCCCAGAAATCATTTCACAGAATGTGTTTATCTAGGGAATCACCACGTACATGCTGTGTTGCAAGCCTGTTCGGGCGAAGCCTCAAAACAACAGAAATCAGGCACATGCGCTGGCAAACTGCAACCTTTTCAAACCGGTCTACTACCCCCAATGCTTGTCCGCCTGGCCTGCAGCCTGGCCGGGGAATGTTTTGATTGAGTAGCTGGCAGGCTGGAGGGCCAAAACCTGGGTTTTATAAGGGGTCTAGACTTGGCCCTGCGCGCAGGTCGGTAGACAGCCATCTCCTGAGCATTACCTCGGAATCCCCAGGTGCTTCTTGGTTCGAGAAGACTTCTAGCGAATTGCCTTTTGAGCGTTTGCACGGTATCCGCATGTATTGCATAAAGAACGCGAGGAGGTTACGGGGGGGCGGGTGGGGTTTTGTTTTTCAAGGGGTGTCTTGTTTTTGTGGGGCCCATTTTACTGGTTGCGGGGTTGCTGCCGGGGGGTGTTTTTTTTGCTCTTGCTGCGGGGGGGTGGGGTTATTTTTTTGGCGGTGCTGTTGTTTTTGCTCTTTCTGCCGGGGGAGCGTTTTTGTTTTACTGTTGCTGCGAGAAAAAATGTTTGTTTTTTTGTTGCTGTTGCTGTGGGGTGGGGGGGGGTGTTTAGGGGTGTAAGGCGGAAGGGGGGTAGGTTTGCAGGTTTTTAAGACTTACGGTGTAGAGGTGTAGGGTTGAGGGTTACAGCGACAGTGACCTATCAGGATTCTACAAGGGTTGCAAATGAGATTCTTTAGGGGCATAGGCATAGGGTTTTCGATTCCTACTATTATCATTTTGACTATTATTACTGCTGCTACTATTGTTGCTATTATTATTCTTCTTCTTACTTTTAGTATTACTAATATTACTAATTATTACTGTTTTAACTATTGTTGCTACACTTGACTATTGTTGCTGTTACTATTGTTCTGAATTTACTACTCGTACTAATATTACTTACTATTATTGCGATTACTGCTATTATTACTACTAATACTTTCAGTACATTATTACTACAACTATTGTTACTATTATTGCTAGAATTACTATTATTACTATACTTACAATTTTTGCGATTTTGAGTACTATGTTGCTTTTTTTTGTTGTTGCTGCTGTTGTTGTTGCTCTTGTTGTTGTTGTTGTCCGGGGGGCGCGTTTCGGAATTTGCTGTCGTCCCCGGAGGCGCGTTGGTTTTTTTTGCTGTCGTTGCGGGGGCTACTTTTTTTTTCTTTCGGTTGCTGTCGTCCCCGGGGGCGCGTTGTTTTGTTAGTTGCGCAGGCGCGTTTGATTGCTGTCGTTGCGGGAACCGGGGTTCACTCACTCACTGGCTTCCTGGGTCCGCGCAACGACAACAAAAAACCACATGAAGCAACTACAGCAAAAAAACACGGGTTCCGTATTGGCCACTACATTAGTGGGAGGAAGAGTCGGAGAAGAAGTAGGAGCAGCAGCAATAGTTCATACCCGTAACACGGTATCTCTCGACGCCCATGATCCACGTTGGGCAAAAAATGCAAGCACAACTATCAGGTTAAAACAGGAAACGGCGGTCTTACTGCTCATGCCGCTCAGGAACAAGCTGAAATCTGTAAATGCCTGGCTCTGGTAGGAGACTATGCAGCGATAGGAGCATGACTGGTCTGCCAGACCACACCTCGGCAACAAAGCAGCAGGACTCGACTACAATGGGCACACCACGTTCCGTCGACTAGAACGCATCATGTTTTTTTTTATTGGTTACCCGGGAAAACCCGAAGGAGATAAAAAGGGACGCTCTTGGTCCGTGACAATCAAAGCGGAGCCAGGTCTTGCGTTCAAGTGTGCTCTTGCCAGCGCATTTGCATGCATAAGCAGTGAGGATCCAATACAGACAGGCCGCTGCGAGAGGCAGGCCAAGCTTTGTAGGCACCGTGGTTGAGTAAAGCAGTTGCGAAACTGCTCCTGGCACCGATCCTTATCGTCCAACTCCACGAAAAAGGTGCTAGAGGTGTTATATCACATATCAAGCCGCGAGAATATACATCACCCCCAATGTGAAGCTTCACGTGAAAATAGTATGAGCGGTGGAATTACACCTCAGGACAAAGTCTTAGAGATGCTGGGTAGCTGGCCGAGACCGGACATGGAGTCCCACTACCGAGTGGTCTGCGGTCGCTAGCAGCCGCAGCCCTGGAAGATTGTTCTCGATTTGAATCTCCCATGTGGAAATCTTGTTTTTTAAACGTCCTTTGCAAGTGTGGCTTGGCTGGACCGGGAAGCCCCCTTGGACTTCCCTGCTCGTAAGGTACTAACATCAACATTTCATGGTGACAGGTTCTGGCTTGGTTGCGACATTTGCGATGCATGTTCCCTACAAGCGACATGCATAGGGCACGAGCTTTCTCACTCCACAGCCAATTTCATAAGCCATCGTGTCAATGAGAGTGCTGGAATTTGAAATGCATGCCATCCAGTCCCACATCACGCCAGTCCTTACGTGTCTGTACTGGTGTTTTTCAGCCTGATTTGCGCCCGCAATCGCGCGCACATCATCGCGTGTCCATGCATACTCTGCACCGACGGCAGACCTAAAAATCTAGGAAAATTCTACGAGCTCGGGGCTCCGACCTTCGTGCACATGAATATTTATATTGCGTGGCAAGCAGCCACTGCACGGAAGACAGTATCTGCCGTTGGAACAGGACGTTGATCCACCATGGCTGGCAAAGGCGTCACCTGACTTCGTGCGACTCGCACCGGTCAGTGGATCCCGAACTTTTCATCCAAGTTGCAGCTTTATCAATCAGCAGCAGCATGGCATAAACGGCTTCTTCCGCTGTTCTACGGTGCCAGAGATCGGTCACATCATCTCGCAGCTTTGCAGCCTGGCCGGGCAATGTATGCACCACAAGGGGATGCTCTCCTACCGTTCATCGCCCGCATGCTTTCAAGGCCTTCTAGTGAATGCTGACGAGGCTATGTACCGGTATTGTACTGCTTGATGCGACAGAATGAACTTTCAACACTGATTTGTTATTTGTTTCACAAGGCGTCGCATGATTGTTCCAGGGGGGCTCGGCGCTGGCTGAGTTGCCGTTGTTTAACTGCTAGCTGGGCTTAGGTTGTCGCAGCTGCAGAGGAGTTTCGTGCCTGTGCGACATCTTCTTGCTTGCTATCGGTTCAAATCATCATGATTCTCGACCACTCGGAACGAACAGACGCAAACGCGGGAACCCACGTGAGACGAGCAGCAAGCGGAAAGCAACTTTCCCAGGTAGACGACACAAATTCTCGAAGCAAACACCAGCCGGAATCAGGATGACACAAACTCCGGCCTCGCTGTATCCCGCCACAACCGCAGAGAGTCCCAGAAAGCCAGAATTGGCCAGCTCTGCTTCCCCAGCCCCTTGCAACGGTAATGAGCTTGGACGTTTTCCAACTTCTGTCCTAGACTGGCTTGCTCAACACGCCTTCGAGCTGTGTCATTGAAGTCCAGAAGGCACTGGTGCTGCGAGATTTGCAGCCTTGGCAACGTGGGGAACTGCCTCACCGGACGCAATCGCATTCGCTCAGGACGTTTGCGTCGCCTCTACTGTTGCCAGTGCTTAGGCCTAGGCATGTTGAAGACAAAGAATATCGAAAAGCCCTCAACAAGCAAAAGGCGAGCCTTCTCAGGGCTCCCGCACATCTTCCATCGAGATTATGGAGCACAGGCAGAGATGCAAGGCTTTACAGACATGATTCTTCCTGTAGATTCTGCACTTCAACCTGCTATATTGAATACTATGTTGACAAGCTGCTTACACACGGTGGATGCAAGCGGGCGACTTGTGATGAACAATCTGGAATCCGCCTTGGCCAGAACTTTGCCGAGCCATTCTCGGCACTCCTAGCTCAAAACAGCTCAAGTCTTGGGCGGAATTGCCACAATGTTGCTACAAGTACCATATTAGGGCAGGGGCAGGGAGGCTTAGTGTTTGATGATCCGCGGCATCCTGAAAGGGGACGCAGCATGCACGCCGCATCATAGAATTCAACTTCAATGTTGGAGCTCCGCTCTTACGAGTAGCAAAACACGGCCTTCTGAAACCCCAACACGGGCAAAATCGGGCAAAGAAGTGTTCAGAACAGATACAGCCCAGCATGCTGAGCCAGACGGGGAAATTGGAATCTCAAGCATCTTTATGCAGCATGTCAGCAAGACTAGCATACAACATCCCGCAACTCAACAGGCTGAGGTTTCAAGTGGCTGCACACATGAACAGTTTCCTCGCAGGGTTAGGCTCCGAACCAGTTATTCGAAGTTTTTGTTGAGGGGTTGGCACTGCGCCAAGAGGAGGAAGAGAAGAGATCGACCCCTTTACACAATTGCTAACAAATTCAGATCAATTCCGCGTTGCAATGCCGTCGACTGGCTGAACTTTCAGACTGTCTCGCACATGCGGTGCTGGCCCAGTCCTGCGGCGGCTCCACAAGGTCTACGCCAAAGACGAAGTCTGCGTGATAGGTCTCATCCTTCAGTTACAGCTACGACGAGACCAGTTGAGCTCATTCCACAGCCACGACATGCTGCGGTCGCACCGCCTGGCAAAGCTCCAAAACGGACATGACTCCTCAGATGCTCAGACGATACTCCTGCCAAGGCCCTAAAATAGTATAGCGCAGCACTAGCAGTCACTAGCAGCTTCTTTGTGAAGTCACGGCCCTAGCACGTCGGGAAGCTTCTACTCGGTCACCGAGCTGGCCGAGTGCAGCGCTCTATCACAGCTTCCGGCAACTGAATCCAAGGCTCGGAACTCCACAGGCTCTGCACCCAAATCCCAGTTGACCCGTCGAGCGAGCTGTGCTGCAGCCTCTGTCCAGCTGGGACTGCTGCCTGTGAGCGCAGTGCCCATGTGCGGCACTTCCGCGAAACCTGACGGAAGCTTTAGCCCAGCTGCATCATGCTGCATCCATCCAGAACTCTCGGACCCAAGCCTGGTGAACCTGAGCCGGGGTGCAGCAGAAGTACCTCAGCTCTTGCGGCTCTTGCGCAACACTCCGACCGGTTGGTGAAGCGTCATGAACACCGGTTTTCCAGGAGACCGACCATGGAACTTTGACAAGGCACCTGCTTTTTGCCCGTCGACGTGCTCCCGATTGCGACGTCGGAGCCCGTTGAGGCCTTGCAGAGCTCGGCAGCTCGGACATGCTCGGACGCTTCACTACGCCTACCTGGGCGAAGGATTTCGGAAGCCAAACGGAGGCCGGGGGCCCTCAAATGCTGAGAAGAGAACAAAGGAAGAGAGCGAGCTCTGAACTCTTGGTTCTCTTAGAGCTAAGGAGCAGATAGGAGCAGAGCCGGTCTTACAGTAGTTGTACAACGGGCACAAAATGTCCTCAAACGGAAGAACTCTGAGTTCAGAAGTCACTTCCAAACGATGTAGAGGCTGACGCGTGTTGCGTCCTCTGCAGTTGTCAGGGAACAACTCGCAAGCTGTACGATCATCTACGAACGAAGACCATTTCGCACATGTGTGCATCAGTGCAACTGTAATCCTAAAGTCGGCGGACCCTCGACACAGTTCATGATCGTGCAGCCCCGTGCTGGTCTGGTAACTCTACGCTGTTCGGACTGCTGGACAGGTGCAAGAACTGGGTCATATCTGATTCTGGACGTGTATACTGAGCGATGATACCGGAAAGGCGGTGGTGCGACTGTTCAACCTGATCTAGCATATCAAGCCCAATGGGATCGTGCGGTTCACAAAGGAAAAATACTGGAAGGCCCTTTGTGCAGCTGTGCGCAGCCCATGTGTGGACTAATTACTAGTGCTGGATATGCTGGGCTTAGAACATCTGCTGGATGAAACCTTACCGGCAGAACAATGGTTGGTTATCAATTTGCCTGGAGGGTTGCTGCGGCGGAAGCCAAACTGTCGAGCCTGAAGCAGAACATCACAACACCATGACACCCACGTTCTCAGAACAGGCCTTGATTGGGTCAGCTGGCCCTCTGCCGCCGACCGGTGCAGTTGGTACATGCCACAGAAACCGGCAGACGAGACTGCGAGCGCTGCTAGCACCTGCAAAGCAACAAACAAGATGACGCATCGCGCACGACCCGACTGAGGCGAGGGCCGGTGCAAAGCACGCTAGGCCAGCCGGGCGGGCTCTGGGCCTCCTTGAAAACCGCACCTTCCACAAAAAACAGAAATTGCAAGGCTCGTCGACTGTCCGAAGTGCTTAAAACTGAGGATGTCACAGGGGCTCGGTGTCCGAATCTACGGTTCTCCATGACTGTATGATAGCTGAAGGCTTCGCTTGCGTAACTGGCCGTGTGAACCGGCAGCTGCTTGCACGATGTTTGAGTTTGGTGATAGTAAAGACTGCGCCCGTAAATTGCGATGAAGCTTTGAGCACAAAGCATCGTACCAACCTGAGCTACATGCATCTTTTATGCGAATGATGTGTCGTCTGAAAAGGCATCCAAACGAAAGCAATGTCATGCCAGCTGCCCACCGCCATTTTGTGCTGGAGTGCACATGCACAATCGAGTGGTCGCTGGATGCATACTCGCGCAACTGGGCGCTGACTCGTCCGTTACGAGGCATTGCAAAGCTGTGTCTCGTTTCATGTCGTGCACGTAGCAGGGTATCTCGGCTCCAACCTCCCAGCACATGCAACGGGAACGCTCCAACTGAAAATGTCGCGAGTAAACCTTGTGCCTGATGGCCACAACCGTTCTCGCAAGGGAAGTGCTGCTTCAAGGCGTTGCAGTTGTTGGCGAACTCCAGTTGCCGCGGATCACATCTCAGGCCGGCCTTCCAGAGAATATTAAACCTCTATTGCACGACTCGTCAGGAGAATGATGACAAAGCTCGAACAACCAAACAGACTGGCGTAGAAAGGATGACCCACGATTTGTGGCTTTGTGGCTTCCTGCGCGAAAGAGGCTCGACTTGCCTCGGACCTGACCTTTCTGACTGCCCGAGAGGTATGCGGCAAGGTCCTAATTCCGGCGAGTGCCGGATGAGGTTCTAGTACAACTCAAGAACAGAAACCAACCTTCGCTTTTGGTGGAGGCGTTTCGGAGTCTAGGCCAGTTTTGTAAGGAAGTTTGTTGCTTGGAGTGCTTGAGCACGCAGATCTGGCTTGGCGGCAGTCACAAGCAAATCCAACAGTTCGAAGGATTCATCTTTTGTGGGACACGCTGAAGGATGTCACTAGCCTGGAGTCTGCACAAGATTGCAAATTGGAGAGCAAACTACTAGCACATCGCGCTGCAACTAGAGGACCTATAGAGTTCTTTAGTTGAAATGTATCACCCACAAGAGAACGTAGGCTGTATCACACTATCTTGCGGGTCTGTGCACTGTGGTCGGCAAAAGAAGGTCCCGCCTTGCTGCAAGCCATTTCGCAGGACTGCCCTGGCTGGGCTTTCCTGGGCACTTAACGCCAAAACGGATTGAACACGCTTGGCAGTCGAAAGTCGACTGTCCATTATGTGCTTTCGATGCAGCCCCGCTTCGTTATGACATTGCCTGGATCTGCACGCCAAAGTTCATTCTCTGGAAGAAGCCCCTCCCCCTGAAGCAAAGGAAGGTGAACACATGCATCCTCTCGAGCGTGTAAGCTACTGTAGGTCTTTCAAAGCTGCGGCTCTTGCCCGCCTGGCGCCGATCAATCAAAGCGAGCAGCGCATGTGACTGCGGATGCCGGCTGAAGATTATGCCTGCCCGGTCCATCATGTGTGTGCTTGAAAGCGACCGACCATCCAAAGAGATGATGCTGAGAACGATCGGCCGAGCTCAAACGATGCTTGTGCCCCCGTCTCGTCTCGAACATCACAACCGACTGTCCTTTACAAACGCTCTCGGACGCTAGGATGCAACCTCTTTATCTTCTAGTCTAGACAAAACCTGACTCGCGGCTCTTGGTACCCCATCTCGCTCTCAGCTGGAACAGAGGATTCATGAAGGTTGCTGTCAATTGGAAACTGAGTCTGAGTGGAGTGTGGATGTCATCAGACACGGAATGGACGCAGAAGAGTGCTCTCAGGCTCAGCTTATCTTGTGGATTTCCTGCATCATCCGTCCGTCGGCAAGAAATCTTCGAAGACCGAAGCTCTCGCCTATGGTGCAGAGATCGAAGCACTGAAGGCACTGAAGAATCGGCCTCGCCAACCCCCTCTCGGTTGTCCAGGATACAGTTGAAGCTTTTTGGCAAGACCAGGGAAGTCCTCCCAGGACTTTCTGTCATGGCAATCGACTTTCACTTCTGTCGATCTCATGCCACATGCCCGAAAGCTATCGGTGACTCTCTTAGCGACTGGGGTGGATCTTAACGTTTACTTAGTCACAGGCTCTAAACCGACATTGCGATAACATGTGCGGCCGGGTTGAGACTTTCAACATCAGTATTCAGATTCATGCAACCACATCTTCGCAGTCAGTCCTCTCGAACATATGGAATGAGATGGTATCTTCCAGGAACTTTGTCAGGTATGTGCGCCTGAAGTTCGTCCAGAGAGCGCACCAATTCTCCATCCTGCAGCAGCTTCCGGATCTTGGTCTCGTATTCTTCCCTATCAGGGGCTCACGAAGCAGCACAAAGAATCTCATCGCTTCAGGCAGGCCGCAGGCCTCAACAAGTAAGTCACATCGTGCAGCTGGCCATGTGGCAGGCTGCTGGTGGCCATCTTCTCAAGGAGCTTCAGAATGGGAGTCCCTGCCTGCCGTGAGAGCGTTTCAGCATGAACCAGCCTGAAGAGGCAGGAGAACTTTGAGACGTCACCCATCCTTGACATTTGTGCCCTTGCTGTCCACGTGCCGGGTGCGTGGGGCTTCCGGCGCGATGCAGTCACGAGGCTTCAAGCCAGAGCCGTGGCGCATCCAATGGTCCCAGCCAGTGCTCGGAAAGGCTGGCCACGAGTCTCGCAACATAGGCCAGGTGCTGTTGCCTCAGACTTTCTTTCATCCAAGCAAGCTGAAGTCTGAAGCTGCAGCAAAGAACGTCAGCATTCATGCCAGGACTCGGATCATCCAGCCCAGTCCCGGGAAGTAGTCTGTTCTGAACAGGCGATGCTCATCTGGCGCGAGCTCCCGAAAACCATTGTCGTTCCATGCAGACACACACCACACTGAAGGGTCACGCAGCAGAAGCGGTGCTGTAAGACGGAAGTACCACAAAAAATCTGGTGCCAAAGTCAAGTCGTTCTCGACGAAAATCGCAAATTCAAAGCCGGCCACCTCAAAACCTGAAAGGTTCAGCGGGTATCTCCACATTTCTAAGTCGTAGACTTGCCAGTGCCGTCAAAGTTCTTTGTGAAATGGCGAACTTGAAATGTGCGGCGATCTTTGCTACCGCAACCTCACATGCTTAGCAGCACGAACTTTTGAGGAAGCGCCTCGGCCCGCTACATGCTCTACAGCATGCATGGCACCTTGAGGCTTGCATCATCTGGCTTGTGCCAAACACCAATCTTAAACTTCGCAGAGTACTTCTCAACCACGGCCTGCAGAAGCGGAGCGGGGCTTAGCTGTGCTTGATTGTGCTTGGGCGCCTTTTGCGCCGCGGCCTCCATCTTCCGGAAAGATGCTGGGTGATCCAAAGAAACCACACTAGCGACAAGGGCAAGGTCCGGTTGCGCAACCAAGGAGTCCAAGCACCTCAGGCAATCGCGGTCGCCAAAACCGCTTTCGGCTTTGAAACTTCTTTGAAGCATTGCTGCCAGGCGCCGCGCAAGACAATCAGGACGGTCGTGTGCCAAGATTACGACACCAGCCCGCCCGCCCTCCAGCGCTGGCCACATCTCCGGTGCTGCGTGCATTGCGCTAGCGCCAGCAAACGTTGTACTGAAGCCTGTCCCAATCACCTCGGCAGACATGTCAGGCATACTCAGACTACAAAAGACTGCCGCATGCTCGAATCGATCTGCAATCAGGATGCAGCAGGTCTTTGAGACCTTTGCTAGGGACTACTCAGTCTGCACTGCAGAGCTGCATGTTTCCAGACAAACTCCTTGTCACAAAGCTACATCGCGGCGGGCGAAGAAGGCTGCGAAGTTGCATCCGTCGCAACCCTGGCCAAGACCATAAATTCTTGAATTCAGCTGACTCGTGAGTGACACCTCCCAAGGACGGCAGACTGCACTCTCCGCAGTCCGCGGAAATGTTGTGAGAGATGAAACTGCCCAAACTCGCTTTCGAGCTCACGGCCTCCATGGCAAGTTCTGTTTTTAGATTTCTAACACAATTCTGACCGAGTCCACCAGGTGCGAAGCCGAGGGATGTGTAGAGAACTATCAAAACTGTCACGAATGTCAGTATCACCTGCCGAGACAGCTGTATAGGCTTCAGAAGGCAGTCATCCCACTCTTTCTGAGACCACTGCGCCGCCCGCCAGCAGAAGGAAGGGTTGAAAAGCACCTGCAAAGCCAAAGCGCTGTACATGAAGCTGCAAGAATCATGAGCGGTGGCGGCCTGCCCAGATGCTTTTCTCGCGCTTTCCCTTGCGTGCCATGGCATCGCAGCCAATGCATGAGGGCACGTGGGAAACTTGTGTCGTTCGAAGCCACCTCTAACTCCGGCAAGTGCCCGAACTTTCTTGGACAAATGTGCCACTCCCATTTACGAAGACATGTATTTGGCTACGTTTAATGCATACAGTACAGGCTCTAGTACAGGCACCTGTGACTACAGTTCAGTACTGGCGCTGTCTGCATGTCATTTTTAGGCTTTCACAGGAGCCCTGCTCCCAACACTGTCCTTGTCCGCGGGGGGACTTCTCGCTGGAGCATGCGTGGTTGACGGCGAATATGCTTGGAGGTGTTCGGCCAAGAACGACTTCATTCACATGTCGGTACTTTCACGGCTTGCATTCCTGTGCCCCGTCCCGGAGCGCAGGAGACCCCACCTCGCCGGAAAGACAAATACTAAGACCGCGGCGGCGACTGAATCGAAACACGAAGGCATACGGCAGAGGTAGGGTTAGGGGACCTATAGGAAGCGACGCAGAAGTGCGAGAGCTGCCGCCGGGGCCTTAGGAAGTGCTACGCAGGAGTAGCCCGCGAAGGCCTTGGCCACTCATTGAGTGAGCTCGTGAAACGGGTCCTTGCCGGACCAACCCACTGAAGACAGTTGCACGGGCCACAACAAATGCATCCTGCAGAAACACGGGCAGCAATGCCATCTAGCCGGCAATGCTCTCTACACAAAGTAGGTTTCAGCATGACGTTTGCTCTCTATGAGCTTAAACTTATTTGGTTGCTGCTTGTGCGCACGCTACGAGCGCCGGCGCCGGCCCGCGGCTTTGCAATGCCCTTGGCACGCTGTGGCTAAGTGCGCCTGGCTTCGGACCAGATCACAGGGTACTATGCTTCGTGAGGTGGACCATCTCAGCAGACCTGGGCCGGCCGCGCTTTGAATCCGCCAGGGTACGACGAGTCAGATTTGGATGCGAGGCCATTGAGGTTGCAGCAGCTTTCGCGAGCATCTCCTCAATCTCTTTCAGCCTTCTCGCACATCAATGCTTGCCAAACAGCCGACATGTCCAGTGACCGAATTTTTTTCACTGGGAGGCGGCTGGCTCTTCTCTGCGACAGCTCTTCCTCATGCGATGTCTCAGCCCGGTGACAATTCGACGTGTAAAGCCCAAGCTGAACCCAAACCTAAGGGATCTGCCGCAGCATCCGCACTGCTCACTAGCGCCCCAAAGGAACATAAACTGAGAGAGAAAGAGAGGTTGTGAAAACGAGCAGGCATGTGACACCCTCCTCCCTCCCTCTCTTTCCCTCATGCCCGCTCAAGGCTGAAGAACAGAGCAGGCAATCTCCGATTAAGCCAAAACCACAATCAGTGAGATCTTGTCATTTGCATCACCTTCCTGCAGTTGCCTTCTGCAAAGCTTGGTGTGTGGCATGAACCGAGCATGCTCTCGTCGATTGATCGGCTGAGCCGACGGACAGGAAACGTTTGTCCGCTGCCTTGCTCTTGCAACCGCTCAAGGCATCAAGCTGCAATCTTCAAGATGAGTGCGGGGTGTCAAAACTGAAGGCAAGATGCTCACCGTTGTAGTTGTCCGGCTTAGCACGCAACTGCACCTTTGAGACAGTGTTTTGTTCAACAATTGGGAGCATTGACAGATTCCTTGATGCCGCCCTCTGCCCTACCCTCCTGCCAGGACATTGTCAATCATGCTTGCATTTCACAAATTTAGCACAAGAAACTGCTCTTTGTTCACTCCGGTGCTTCAACCCGACTCCGGAAACTGCCAAAACTTCAGGAGCATGGCGAGTGACAATGCACCTCCAAGTACACCTGGAAAAGAACCTTCCTTGACTTCTGCGATTCCTCTGTGTGCAAGAGCCTGCAAGATCTGAGCATAGTAGCAGCTCTTCAGCTTGGCCTCCACAACCTGCTGCAGTCACAAGATCGAACTCTAGGTCTTCGGACACCGCTGCAGCCTCCCCAGCATCTAAAAACCTGCCCTTTGGCTGACTCTTGTGGATTCTCGTCCGCGGTGGAATCGGATTCATGATTCCCTTTGTGCTGCAATCCACCAATGTCTTCATACCAGTTCGCCATTGGCGTGGTCTCCCTTGTGGTCCCGGTACGGCGAAAGGTCTCAATGCAGCAGCTCAACTGTTTTGTTCGGCAGCCTCTCGGCCCTCGCTCTTCTCGATATCAGCAACCTGGCGGCAACTACCATTATTCAACCCCTTTCAGTGCAAACGAAGTGAACTGCAAGCGGTCTGCACGCCACCCAAGCATCCACACAGAGTCTGACAAGCTCAAAGAGTTCCGTAAAGCTGAACGAAGACATGTGAAGGTCACTAGCTGCGAGCAAGAAACACTCGAGCACGTTGTAGTTGTGTGCAAAGCTCCAGTAGGTTCGCAAGCTTAGGACAACACAGTGCAGTTTATTACCGGCTGCCCTACCTCTTGCGCCGTCATTCCAAGAACCTTCTCGGCTGCCTGCGGAGCATGTTTGTGTGACATCAAATCCTAGTCTTGAGAAGCAACCACATGGAACTGCATGGCGAGCAGTAAAGCTCTGCAATCGACTGACCGGGTGGAAAGTTGTGACCCAGAAGTTGCCGGTTGCCTCAGCTGTGCAACACAGTCCGCACTCATTCAACTGCTAACCGCCTGGAGGGATGTGGGAGCTCTCTCTTGCATCCTTCTGTGTTTTTAAGAGCATTTCGAGTTAGGCCATCACTGGTAAGTTGCGCTGACCGAGAAGAGAGAGGGGGATTTCTGAAGGTGCAGTTTCGGAGTTTCGGAACCATAGCCGAGAAGGTGCCGCGACCAAGTGCGGCTTTAGCTGAACTGAGGAGACTAAGCGTGCGTGTAATTTGTCATGACGAGGCATGTGTGGCTCGAGAAGACTCACCGGGCCGGAGCAGCTTCGAGCTCCGGCAAAAGCGAGTCTCGACATGAGTCGACTTAGAATCTTCGAAGAGTGCAGGCAAACAGAGTCAGAGCACATGCAATCCCAGCACCACCACAACAAATGAACTGATGCCAACAAACTATTTCAAGCGCAATGTACAAGAAAACAGAACTAGCAGAGTCAGAGTCATTTGCTGCTCCACCATAATTCAAGTGAAGGTTGCTTGGTACCATACGGACCAGTTACTCTACTTGCGAGACCAGATGCATCTTCGAATCGGCAGCGCAAATTGAGACGAGGTGCAGCCTGAGCGGTACAGTGGAACTTGTGAAGTACACCCAAAGATTCCGAATCATGTCCCTCTCCGGCCTTGACCGTTTTGTTGCAAACAGCACAGAAATTCGCTTCGTCGACGCGCCGATTACACGGCAGGCCGTTGCCTTCCTGCGCAATGCCCACTCGACGCCTCTCTGCACTTCACAGCAACCTATATACCTTCTTCAGACTTGAAATTCACTCTGCATCCTTTGGCTCCAAACACGCATTGTAGTAGAGCGGCCTGGCTCAGTGGAGTGAATTCAGAGTTTTGCAGATTTGTCTTACATCTTCTGGGCGTTAAGCGGAGTTTGTGAGCGTGGAATGCTTGGCTCGCAGTTCTACGGATTCTACGGAATGTCCCGCACCGCTCGTTGTTCTGCCCGGCTTGTAAGTGCATTGAAGGCACCCTTATCTTTATAGAACAGTATGTGGTTGTGGAACTCAACGTCGATCAATCGTTTTCTTCAGCACTCACAGCCATGTGTATTGTTAGAATTTTCAGTGTGCAAAATTCCGACTGTGAATGAGGTAGTGGGGTAGTGGTGCGAACTTGCTTCATTCGCTGCGGAGCATTCCTACAATGTGAACATAGCTTTCCCGTCTCAATCCGCCGCCGCCAGAGTCAACTCGTTTACATGGAAACAACGAGTCCTCACGCATACCGTATACAGGCCAATGCAATTCTCTGTGCTCGTGCGCAAGATGTCACGCAGTCCGTATCATTTGAGACCCAGGCTGGATTTCGTCCCTCTTGCGAAGCTGGACCTGTAGGCACTGTCGACAATTTTTTCCCAATCTCAGGGACATTTGGTACGTCGGACTGGTCTGTTAAGGCGTGTGCCGAGGAAAGCCGGCAGTAGGCAGAGTACATCTCTTGCTCGTTCACGAGCTGGCAGACCAAGCTTTCACTTCTCTGATTCTCGCAAGTCAGGTTGCCTGCTTCTCTGTGTTTGAAATTCACGGGTGAGAAGACAGATCGTAGCTGCCTGCTCTGATTTCTGCTTCATCTCCAACACATCCATGAGCTTGCCGGCGATTCGAGCTCCACCACCACCGCTAGTCTGCAATGCAATCACAAGCGCATGCTCATCTGAAGCCGGATGCCATACAGCCTCAAAATGCCGTGCCTGCGAAATGAACGTAAGGCTCTGAGCATGGCCACCCTGAGTCCACCAACTTTTCACCTGGCAACATGGGCTCTGCCAAGATGACTCTTTGAACAGATTGAACGACGGTTCCGAGTTGCGTGGTAAGATGTTGTCTTCTTGCTCCACCTGACCTAACCCAACTCTGCCTATACAACCTAACAAAGCCCTGACTTAACCTCAACTAAACCAATGCCCGACCCAGTCCGACCCAAGCCAAACCGAGCCAAGCTAAACGAAGCCAACCTGACCTGATCTTTGGTCGCCCAGGTGTGAGGTTGGGTTATCACAGTTATCATGTTGTTGTGCATGTTTTTCAGCCGCTCGGGGACGTAGCCAAGGCCAACCCCATACCGTAAACCCGCCCGCTTCGACCAGCTCCAGCACCAAGCAAACGGTGGAGAAAATACCGCCGTGCTTGGAAAAGCGGAACTTCCGCGAATTGGTTGGCTGGGTTAGCCTAGAGTGGGCCGGGTGCACTCCTCACTGTGGGTTAGCATAAGTTTTGGTTTTAGGTAGCAGTAGGGTACTGTAACAGGAAATTCGGAAACCATGGCTCGGAAAACAAAAGGAGAACTCGGAAGCCGGGAAGGAATCCGACAACACAAAAGGACGACTCGAAAACAGCCAATTCAGAGTGACTCAGCCATCATGTAGAGCAGCCCCCCTTTTCGATCCCAAACCTCAGCTAACCTAACCCAACCTGACCTAAGCCTGAAAGAATGTCACGACACATTTACGTATAACACTGACCATCCACACTTAACCTAACCAGACCCAACCCACTTAATCGACCCGAGCGAAGCTCATCTAACCTACCAGTAGCCTAGCACAGCCGAACCAAACCCGACCCAGCGTCACCTAACTAACCTTCCCTAAAGCGGCCTAACCTACACCGAATGCGAACCTGCTCTCAACTAGGCCCCTCACCCAACCTTTCTTGCCCAGCTCTAACAGATGCTTGCGCAGCCAAGACCGTGACCAAATGCACACTCACCTAACCTAACCTAGCCTAAACTCAAGATCAACCTAACCCAGCCTGCCCTGCACCGCAGCCGAATCAAACCTGACCTAACCGAACCTGACCAAAGCCCTACTTCAAGCCTGAACTGAACCCCGAGGGAAACCACTCTGCAACCTGCCCCTATCCCAACCAAACATAAACCATTTGACATGACCTCACCGAATGAATCCTGCTGATCAAATCCGGAACCCAACTGCCGACCCAACCTAACAAGCCGCGGAAAAATTCTCAATGTTCTTACCTAAACCTAACCCTAACTCGACCTAAGCTTACCTTAGCCTAATCTTCCGTAGTCCAGACCGACGTTACCCAACCTGCCCTGCACCGCAACCCAACCTAACCGAGCCTACCGAAGCACATCTGCCCAGACCAAAGCCATACTCTGACCCAACCTCCGCTAACCTAAGCTCCCTGCGTTAGCCCACTATCAAGCCCGGCGCACCCTGGAGCTAACCTGACCAAGCCTACACCCTAGCCTAATGCATCTAAGCTGACCTTACCTAGTGTATACCGACCTCAGACTTAACTTATAATCCAAATCAAGCCTAGCCAAAAGTAACCTCACAAGAACCCTAACGTAACCAGTCAATGTGTTGAGTCCAAAACCCCTGTTTCAACCGAATCCCACCCAACTTTAGTAGAGGGCCACCAGACAAACTAAGAATACTACTACTACTACTACTACTACTACTACTTCTACTACTTCTACTACTTCTACTACTTCTACTACTTCTACTACTACGACTGCGACGACGACGACTACTACTACTCCTACTGCTCCTACTCCTACTACTCCTACTACTCCTACTCCTACTCCTACTGCTACTACTACTACTACCACCACTCCTACTACATGCTCGAACCATCTCGACAATATTTGCGCATATACGGTCAGATGTAATATGGTTTAAGCACAGGTAAATGTTCAAGCAACCAACATGAAATGCAAATGAAGTTGACATTCAAGAACATGATCAACTGTATGTAACGGGAAGTAAGCCAATGAGAAGAAGGTAGTCAGTGGAAGATTACTTGACTGTTGGTCCGGCATCCACTAACAATTTACCGAGCTATTGATACAGTAACATTACAGTGTATGTAAAACACTTGTTACTTCTTGATAGCATACCCTGCTTGTGCATCTATATATATATATATATATTATATATATATACTCTGTATAAACTATATGTAATATACATACTCATAGTATGCTAACTGAGAATCAGATCCTTCGTCATAGTATGAGGTAACTGCTGAGCGAGCTTTCGATATCAACTGGTTGTTTCAGCTCAAAACAAGAACAAATAAAGGCTAACTTTCCCAGTCATTGAAAACCTCAAAAACTATACTATAGTCGTTCCTCAGCAGCATTTTGGAGCAAGGTTGGCATGAACCTCAACGCAGACGGAAATCCTCACACAGAACCGCTGTGAGCAAGCAGCTCCGCACGAGAAACGACGACTTGGGTGGGGCCACGTAAAAGCAATAGAATCCCGAAACAAGAAAAAACAACACACACAAAACAACAATTCAAGTTTCCAGAAGACTAGTCTCCCAACTTTTTTTGTCTTCGGGCTTTTTGGCTATGGTATATCTTAGTTCTTGTCAACCGACGACCTGCTGTCCCATGCTGCGAACAATCCTCTCGCCCTGTGCTTTAAAACCAAACTCCTTTTTCAAACTAGGAGTATGCTTCAAGCATGCTTGCGTACGAACCAAAACAAGAATCGCGGACCAACTGCAATATGGTACAGGAACCTGGGAATGGGTGATTTGCGTTGTGCCCCCCACCTCCCCCCCTTTACAAGTAGCTTTTGTGAAAGGACCAGAACTAACAGTTATTTTCGCAATAGTATTGTGAAAGGACGAGATAGCGTCCTTGACATAGTTTTGACCTGGGTCACTACTACTCAGGTGAAGTAAACGACAACTCCTGCAAGCTCCACAGAGCTAGCTAGCTTTCGTGACCTTACCTTTCGATCCGACATAGTCTAGATCATGGTTGGGATAATCTTAAAAACTCACATATCTATTACTGATTGAGTTCAAGTACCCATTAAAAAAAGGAAAATATAATCAAGCTATGATAAACCACTCTAGTCTAACCTGACCTCTTCAGCCCAGATCAAAAGGACCGCTCCAACCCAGCCTGCCTTTCACCTCTTTTAAACAGTCTAAAACCTCCAACTAAACCACCCTGCACGCCTGACCTAACCCAACATAGTGTAAACCCTGGCCCAGCCGTGTGTAACCTGAAATAACTCAAGGTATACACCAGCAAAAGCCGCAACCGCAAATTCACAAAACAGACGCTTCGCCCATTCGGGAGGGCGGGGTATGGAGCGGTGGGGCGGGGATGGTGCGGATGGTTGTCATGCAGCCAAACTTGTTGACTTACCACCCTCACTTATCCAGCTAGAATGGGTGCAGCGGACTGAACTGCCAGCTGGGCCTTGTGCGCTTCGGGCATGTCAGGGTTGAAGGCGAGCGAGCCGCCCTGCAGAATCGTTTCGCAAAGGAAAATGTCATGTCATGTCTGACTGCTCGAAGGTCGAAAGGGCCGCAGCCTCCATCAACGACCCACTCAAACCTCCTTGCCATTCCTGTCAGGAAAGCTTGCAACGGCTGGCCGCAAGATGCTTATGTAGTCAGTTGCGATGCCTTCACCGATACCCCTTTCATGGCGACGACTGGATTGCCCTCAAACTCAGAGTCTTCCTGCAGTCAAAACCGCATCGCAAGTTGAAGTCTATGACTCTCGAGATGGTCCTTTTTTGCACGATCGCCCCATATTGTGACTTGCATGCTGATGCCGCTGTCGTCCTGTCAGAAATCGAGGACATGCTGACGAACACTGCGCATGTATGAGCACGGTGTGCGCACTGCACACCAAGCTCTGCACCGCCAAGGTCAAAGTTCTTTTGACCAGGTCTTTCCTTGGATTCAGCGCAGTTCTCAGTTCACGCTTCAAGAGTTTTTGTTCTGAGCCTCTAGCCCGTCCTTGGAGGTGAAGGCAAAGGACTTGTCGTAGTCTTTGACGATGCCACAAACGTCCACGCTACAGGGCCTAAATCGTGCTAATCTTATCCATGATTATTGGTATCCATTGGACATACAGTGGCAGCCGGCGTCAAGGCAACATCCCGAGCCCATGACAATGTCTTTCCCTTCACCTCACATTCAGACCCCAAAGAATTTCAAACGCAGGTCAAGAATGACTACCACACGACAACAAGCGAGAGATAAGGAATCAACGGAACGCAGTTCAACCACGGAGAACCTCAGCGCCATCAACTGGGGGGGCTCTTGAAGCCGAGGTTTCGATGAGACCACGGCTTAACGGTGTCGATCTTTCCATCGTCTGCAACTCCATCGACCTGAACGAAGCTCGGGGAACGACGGCCATCGGCGAAGGCTTCCTGTGATTCCGGCCTGACAGGCCTTGTCGAATACAATCTCATAGCGATGCTTGCCTGGGACCACGGCCGATGCATGCAGGGCAAAACAACCGTGCCAACATACGTGATAAATAAACAAATATGTATACACACATATATAAATATAAATATATACAATATATATATATGTACATATATGCGATGTACATATATGTATGTTGTTATACTCTATATATATGATACAACATTTAATCTATAGTATATAATATATAATAGATAATATA